GCGCGCATGCCCATCAGAGGGAAAAATAATTAGTTCTTCTGCTTAAATCTTTTCAGCTTTTCATTTTCCGTTGACAAAATGTAAATAAAGAAATGTCACAAAGACATACTTTCCGATGTTTTGGCCTCACTCTCACTGAATCACGAGGTTATGAATGCATGGTGATATATTTGCAATGTAGTCTAACATTAGACCGAGATTACTTTGCTTATAGACAGTGCTTGAAGTGGACAAAAATAAGTGCCGGTACTGCATACGACGGGGGGGGGGGCGCGATCATAACCCACCCCGGACCTACGACCGACGAGGGGGTGGGGGGGCAGCCTGTGACCAGTGCCGGTACGCAAGAAAAAGTGCCGGTACGCTAAAGGGTAAAATGTAGACGTGCCGGTACTGCGTACCGGTGCGTACCGGCCCACTTCAAGCACTGCTTACAGATGATGCAGCTCTTCTGTCAAATAAGCTGAAGCGCATTTTCAGTATGCCGAATGTTCTTTCAATTACACCGCTTCGTGTTTCTGTGTGTTTCCGATTATAAAACATTTCACGCGCTGTTGCTGGCATAATAAAAGGTGTCATCCTGGTGTCCTTATATATGTGTCTTTCGACTATTGGTCAAACAGGTTAATTTGATCCGTCATTACTATTAGCCTGAATATTTTGGGTAACTGTGTACGCTAGATTTAGGCCTATTTTTCACATATGTGGTAATATTTTTGCTTGTATGTATGGTTTGCAAAAATGAGAACTGCTTCCTTGTAGATGAGAGAAGCAAATGCACGTTGTACACACGCTACATTATGGCCAGGGACGGGTGGCCATCGGGAGGTTCGGGAGATTTTCCGAACGGCCGTCGATTTCAGGCCGAGCCAGCCGGCCGTAATTATTTTTTAATTTTATTTTGTGTATTATTATTTTTGGGCCGGTCCAGATTTTTGGACCGCGCACCCCCCGCCCCCCCCGTCAACAATCGCGCACCCCCCCCTCAACAATCGCGCATCCCCTCCCTGATTATGGCCAAGCATGCGCCCTTAAAATAGCGTCTGAATAAGCGCCACTGACTTTAGACGATTTTTCCTGGTCTGTGGCGCAATTGTTTTCTGAAACTGCAGAATAGCACCAGGGAACGTTTGCGCCGGGACACGCCTCCTGTTTTCGCTGAACCGCCCCCGGAGCGCAAGTTCATTCCCCAAGTGAAGGACTTGCGCCTTGCGAGGGAAAATTCCAATGTGTGTCGGGTGCAAAATAGGAATTGTACAAGCGCCAGTGCACAAAGTCAATTGCGTTGAGTGCAAGATAGGGCCCCTAGTGTACCACCTGTTGTCATGTGGGAATGAATGAACACTCAGGGGCTGTTTTGTTACTTCCAGTGTGCGACCCCCTTCACATTTTTGAAAAGGTTTATGACTGACATCTGATTTGCTTTGCTTAATATTTGGTTGTTAGCATGGGAAACTAATTATACAGAATGGTCGTAATGATGAAGCCAAATTATTTCATTAAACAGTCAACTACTCTTCCTTCACCTGTCCAAAAGAGCCCTTGCCGATGAGTGAGTCTATCTCATAGCGGTCCAGCCACTTCTCTCCATTCTTGACAATGTAATCGTAGTTGTCATCATCATAGCCATCATTGTAGACTTTGCGCTCCTTCTTAGTGCTGCTGTCCTCTGGGGGAACCTGCTGGGCTCGCCTCTTCTTCTTGGTATAGTAGACCTGGATGGACCAGAAGGAAACATAGATTGGTGTGGGTCATGCATAGAATATATCTATCCATCTATCTATCTATCCATCTATATATACCTCTATGGAAAGAAAGTAACATTTGTGTACCCATCCTGCACAAACCCAGCCGCCTCCATGGCCAGAATTGGCTCGCCCTCAAATTTTAACAGCACCAAGCGGGCCTTGAGTTCTGCACTGAACAATCGGTGGATAACATGCAATCAGACCAACTGAAGAACTTGTCCCTGTGGTTGTCACTCTGTCCTTTAAAGAGGGGTTCGTTCTGGCCTCGAAAAGGCTACAAAACCATCTGTATTTTAATAAGATAAGTCAAAATAGCCAATGTTAATTCCTATTGAATCATATAGGACCCGTCACTATGGTTACCTTGCTCCGAGCGATCCTTAGCTAGCCTTCTCAGAGCACAACGAGACCTGAATAGACACAGCGAGGAGCTACATCCATTTACCATCCAAAAGTATTGGCTGGTTGGAACTTTTCAATATAAACAATATAGTAGTTTCATAAAAACAAGAAAACCATCAAAATATTAACCGGCCTACATGAGCAACAGCACTATTTCATTTACTTTGAAATGTGGACATTGAGTCTAGTTACACATTTAACACCTTTGTCTGACACAATAACATACTTTACACTGAACATTTTTTAAGAAATCTCAACAAAATCTGTACATCATCCATGAGCTGTGCATGTCTCCTACCTCATTGATGTGCTTGTAAGTCTTAATTAGGTCAACGGAAAGTTTCCTTAATGGAGCGCTGGCTGGGTCTCTAAAACTAGGTGGGATCCTCCGCTGGAGTATGGTCATATCAGACAGCGCCTGCAGAAAAAGAGTGGTTAGTTAGTAGTTATCAGGAAGATGAAGCTATACTACGCACCATTGAATGCTTTATTTTGTATTCATTCTATACAAGCGATTGCAACTGTAAAAGTATTTGTAAAAATGAAGGTCGGTAGTCTTTGCTGAGGATAAAGAAGCAAAAATGGTTGGGGAATAATACATTTTTTCCCCCTGCACGTATACATCCTCCTAGTAGCTAGTTGCCTCTCGAGTGTCAGCTTGCCAGATGTCTTCTGTGTTAACTTGACAGTATACACTTTCTAAATACACGTTCAGTTGGTCTCAGGCGTGGCCAGTTCGAACATTGAGCAGGTAAGCGTTCACACTAGTGGCGCCTACAACAACTGCGACCCATCAGATTAAAGCATCTTACATGGTTGGATTTTCAAAATGCCTGAAAAATACAGTGCTGCCCTGATGAGGCAGCTGCTTACATAAGACACAGGCAGTAGGCTCCTTTGTCCATAAACACAACAAAATAGTATGGTACAATGGTATCTTTTATATATTCACAAGTTAGATCTGAAACCAAATGATGGGTTAGGCAACATGCTGGCCCATAATATAGTGATATATTTTCCCCAAAATGAATTATTTGATTAAAGTTTCTTATTTTAAAAAGGGTACTTTATGAGGAATTTGACCCACCTAGCAAGTTAAGGATCTCAGTTGAATGCCAGGCATATAGTTAGTTATTACCTCTAAAAAGTGATGCCTGAGAATGAGAGACATTTCAACTCCAAGCAGACATGATGCGGGTCAAATCAAGGTGAACCCTAACGGTTTGGCTAATGTAGCAGTGTTTGTTCTTACAAACACATTGGACTTGTTATACAGTGAAACTAAATAAAGAGACTAGGGATGCACATTCCAGGAAAAACAATATTCATGCAAATTCATGATCAATTATCAATCACATTGGGCCATTTTTCGTTTTTTTTTGGGGGCCTGAAAATATTAGACTACCACACATTTTGATGATGTTCCCACGGACCACACTGGTATGCATTTAACTGACATGATTGGGGACTATCTCTGTGTCTACAGTATGTGTATCTCTAAGTTTAGACTAGGGGTGCAAACGTGTACTCTAGTAAATGAGTACTCGTCAAGCAAATCAAACAATTACAAATATATTATGATCATATTGTTATCTATGTTTTGTCGTAATATTTCCGACATCTTACAAATACAATATATATATTTATTATGTTGATATGTATTTTGGCAAATTTTTGGAGCAGGATATATCATGAAATAGTCAAAAGCCATGCATTGTTGTTGAGAGGCTGTATAAAATAGGTTTGTTCCACAATGTTTAGTAGGTAGCCCGGGTAGGTAGAGTTTCCACCGCTTTTGACAAGTTTTACAATAATGTCCGCATGCCAGAAATGTCCCGACATCAAAACTGAAAGTGAAATGTGAAGCAGCATAGGCTGTTGTGGTGGTGTGTCTAACGGCGTATACCTGCCCAGGAGACTGGGCTACCAAGCAAAATCGTCGGGCAGCAGCAGTCCTCTGTAGAGCTATCGTTTGGTCAATATTTTTACACAATCGGCGAATTACAAAGTACCCTGCCCTGCCCTAAACAATAGCCAAACTAAAACGCAATTCAACTGGAAATGTCACGTTTCAAAATGTCCCCAATGGATATAACATTAAAATCGCTGTTTAGATATGTTATCCTGCTAGCTCTACAACAGAAAAAAGCAGGTCAGAAAACTGCGTGACTAGCCGAGCTCCGGTGTAAATGTAACACACATGGACTGTATAAAATACAGATTAAACTGACTTACGATATGTATAGATTCAACTTTTACACTGAAGCTTCGCCATAACCGAGGCGGCCCGAGTCGGACTTGGACCAATGATTGGAAATTGAGAAAAGAAAGATAAAGAAAATGATAAATGGGAGGGACTGTATTGGGACAGGGCTCTATCTGTATTTACATTGGTTTCGAAGGAAATAATATTTTGATGAAAAATGTTCTCACCTGATTTAACTTAACTACAACTAACTTAACAATGTAGGGTATTATTTATCAATCAATATCGCCCAACTGTGTGTGTGTGTGTGTGAGTGAGGCACCGTTACCTGCTGCTGCTCGGCCATGGAGTGAATGGAGCTGAAGGAGGGATGTGCGTGTGTGTGCTGGCTTGTCATGGCTGGCTCAGCAGGGGAGAAGCCCTGGGCAGCGGAGGAGGAGGAGGAGGAGGTGGTGGGGGGACATCCTGAGCTGCTTCCACCTGGAGAGGGAAGAAATAGGATTGATATGCCATTAGCTGAAGACTCAAATTAATATTGTGCCGACCAGTTGGCCTTGAGGGATAACAGCCTTAAAGGGAAGTATTGTGGTTATTGTGTTTTTTTCAAATTCAATATGCATTCAGTATGCTATTCATGGTCACAGTCTAGCTTAACTGGCAGAGCATGGCATTAATACTGCCAGAGTTAGGGGTTTGATTCCCCACTGCTAAGAATGTATTTACGTATGTACACAAGGTAAAACATTGCTTTGCTAGAGTGAAGAAATGTAGCATCTTTAATACAGTATTGAAATACATTGTAATAAACCCTGTGTTTTAAACCACTTTAAATTGTAATTGCTTTGATACACGCCAATTCAGACCTATGGTATCCTTTCAAAAAAACAACCAACATTAGAATGAAAACAAATACCGAACATGCCATTCTCTATAATAATAATAATAATAATAACAATAACAATAATAATAATAATACCTCTAATAGTAATAATAATAATATACTAAGGACATGGATTTTACACAATCATAGCCCTACATTGGTCTTTGGCTAACAGCTAAAATATGACAAGCATTTGCCATCTTGTGTGTTTGCACTATGAATAATACAAAACTTTGTAGTGTCTTCATGCATAGGTGAAAAAATTAAGTGAGATAATTACTTGGATGAATAAAATAAAATATTTATTATTCATTAAAATTTTAAAGATGCATTTGAGTTAATTTGTAGTTAATAGACTTCTTGGCACCTGGAGTGCATGGTGAAAGAGTTACAAAATATTTACTTGTCATAACGATTTCTTCCTTCTCTGAATCTGGATGTCAATTGGGTGGGATAAGGGATTATCTCAGTATGTATTGACCTCAATGTGTAGATAAAACAAGGTAGTTCAGGTCTGAGCAAATGTTCACCAGCGACAGCCCATGTTTTGTTCCTAGCTGAACAAGCGAGCAAATAGCAGTAAAACAAGCGAGCCTAGTTCATCCTATTTGAACAAGCGAGCAAATAGCCTGACTATGACCTGTGCATTTCCATTATGCAAATCCAAACAAATAACGTTTAGTTTTTCAATGTGTCCACACACAATTCCTGGGTGGATTATTTTTTTCTTCACAGTCACAGTCTTCAGCAATTCCACTTCACTGTGTAACATTTTATAGAACTGTATAGGACTTTTCCTATAGGCAATGTCTTCTCAACATTGACCCCCAAAAATGTTTTCCAAAGAAAAAAATAAAAGGGAGCAAAAGCTGAATAAATCCACACTTCCTCCTCAAGGTGCAAATGTTAAATGTGAAATATGAATTGCCAGCATTGCCAATGGTTTAGTTTCAACAGACAACTTATGTTCTAGAATTGCAAGGGCCTTCAGACCTTAATCCAATCGAGATGCAGCCAAGAAAAACAGACAAAATAAGACAAAATTAAGATTGTATTTATTTATTTTGTATTTAAAGCTGTGCTATGATAGCTGTGCTATCAAAATTCATGTTAGACTGAAGATTATAAACTATGTAGGCATTTGTGACCGAAAATGTCATAGGTTTCATAGGTAACAACATACCAACTGTATAAAAGGTGCAGATATAATGTCGTCACTGCAATTGAAGTATCTGGCCTTACATTCAATAATCATTAACCAGCTTAAAATGTACTACAGGTAGTCTATCGAGGTGCTGTTGTTCTGTTATTGTGATTCGAAGACAACCTTCCATACTTGACTACCATCATCTGCAACCATTGAGTGGAAAATATCAGTGACAATAACTAATATCAAGGCCAAGTTGAGACAGAAACAAGTTACTTAGAAGAAAGTATCTTTGAATATGTTATGTGCATACGAAGAAATAAACTGCATTCCACCCTTACCTATAGAAGCAGAAAATCATCACCATACAGGCAACACTAACACATCAGCAGCAAAACTAAAAGAAAAATATTCTGTATTAGTCTGTATCAGCAAAAAGTCAATATGGGTGTGTGTTTCATTTGTACGTTTGTGATTTTTTTGTGACATTATGGCAATCATGATAAATAATTAAATGTCAAAAATATTATTGACAATTCTCAGCTTCTTCACTTCCTGTATAATCCCCCTATCGTAGATATGTAGATATAAAAAAGAATATGCTAGTCTCAGTTACAGTTACATAAACACTTGAAAAACGTACAAGAGATGTATGAAGTTTGACAAATGTAAATCAAAAACAGTTGGTGCTGGTGTGGTGTTAATATTATGTTGTCCAGTCAGCAAGTACTGCAGAATCTCAAAACGTATGAGACACAGAGGGTTTTTGTCTCTTCATGTGTGAACACCCGGTTCGTATTTTCGGGGATTTGGATAGCTGTGGTAGTACCAAAACTTTAGTGATAAGCAAATGTGCAAAACATTTAGCTAAATTAACCACTGGACAAACTAATAGTCTGTGGTAACACAAATGTGCGTGTGTTAGAGGCGGCTGTAAAATAAATATTAGAAAATCAGGTATCAGTTGATTGTGGAGGAGGATGGGTGCATTTGAAAATGATTTAGGTTTGAACAACTAAGTCAAACTTTTGAGCTACAAACTACATAAAGAAGCAATGTTTAGATACCGAGTACCGTATTACACGAATTTGATATCATTTTCCCAAGTTCAATGTTAATATAATAAAGGTTGGTTATATTTCAGTAAAGTATTATCCTATAAATTGTATAGATTAATAAAGTCACTATTATGGTTAATATGTATCTCTAGTATGAGTAATATTACCAATGTCTTAGCAATAGGGTTATGTTGCTGTTGTCTATTGCTTTGCCTGTCCTTATTAGGGATGATCACAGAGGGGAAAGGGAAACTGGAGTAGGGGCTAGTCACTCTGTCTGAGAACACTGTTGTTATGAGGCAGTAAGTTCTGCCCTGAAAAGAGAGATGACGTAGAGAGAGAGGGAGAGTTTGATCAAAGAGAGAGTGCTAGTATATCTGCCTGGCACTGAAATAAGTGCCTCCGTCCCTTTAAGAAGCCAAGAAGCACTCAGAGCACTTCCTCACTCTGACAACCCCCTTTTCCGCAATACCATTGGCCAAGGCCCCCCTCCCTCAGTGTGAGCTGATTGGATGTTAGTATCCAAGGGCTGGCTGGCCAGTGCTCTATAAATAAAATGCTGTGCTTTCTCAGCAACCAGCCCCTCTCTGTCTGTATTGCTATTTACTTCTCCCTCTTCTTTTCTTCTTCTCTACCAGCCTGCAATAATAGTTAGAGCTGGCTCTATCTCCTTCTATCAACCAAACACAGAGCAGTGAGCCAGTATTGTATTCATAGTTCAGCACAGGTTCATAATACTAATATGTCCCTTAATAAATACAAAGCAGTTTGTGTTATTGATTTTTTTTCCAAAAATTCGCTCAAAATACTGGTTCTAAAAAATGAGAAACAAGCTGTCAAAAGTATCTATACTGTTACTATACTATTTCAAATATTAGATAATATTTTATAATGTACATCATCAATTCAAGTTAATTAGATTTGGCTTTGATTGCCATAGTAATGTTACCAAATGTTCGCTGTGTTATAATCACCATTGTTCTCTACAAAGATCCTTGTAGGTATATGTGGTATCAAGGAAGTAACATCATATTATTATTGTATTTTTTTATTAGGCTTTCATTTTGGGTTGGTACTTCTACTTGAATTGTATTGCTTCAGAAGCCTATAAGAAGACACATCCAAAGTTATAAGAGCAGCAATGTAGTAGCCGATCAAGACCATAACATTCCCTATTGTCAATATTGGAAGCATCATAGCGCAACATTGGCAACATTAACACTTGAAAAAAGTCTTGCACTCACATTCTGACCATAAAAGTAAGCTGAAAGTCTACTGCCTATTTGTACCTGCAAATGTTTTGAAAACGAGAAGATTTTCAAAAGGTTTTTCACAATTGAATATTGGCTTAAGGCCCACTATGGAGAATATCAATGCTCACAGAGCAAAATATTTCCACTGCTAAAAAGGAACCTAAAATGCAGTAATAACAAAAAAAAGGAATTACAGTTTTGTGATGATATTGTATCACTGTCTGACTATTTTTCGTTTAACTAAACGTTAAGAATTTGTGCTTTAATATCACACCCGGTTATTTTCTTTGGAAATCATTTGATAATAGTAGTCGGAATAATAAGTTGTGTGCATAATACCACAACAATCATGATAATCATTAGCTGCAGCTCTACGAACAATCGAGGAAAAAATGATGAAATAGAGCATGAAGCACTTTCAATGAACGCTATACAGAGAGATATTCGGTCACTCATTCACTGTATTTTCAACAGTTCAAATATAAGGGCTGATGAACGAATACAATGTTTAATCAAGTTAATCACATAACAGGCTGTGATTAATCACAAGTTTAAAATACTAGAATTGACTTGTATTTTTGTGTGAATGTGGGTGGGGGTTAAGTAACAAATCTATTTGTGGTGTTATGGGAATAATATAAATGCATGACAAACCGGTTAGAGGAAACAAGAGAACAGTTTCAATGACTCTTTCATTGTATAACAAAGAGCGAACTCTATGTAACCATGTGTTAAATTGGTATCGGGTTTTGGGTAGCTGACCATTTTTATGAGTACGATTGCTTGAGCAAGGTATCTGACCGATACACTGACAGTGGAAACTTGCTAAAAACATCGTTGGGAGGAGGCAACATGCGTGTGGTCCACTGCTGATCTTTAAACCTAGCTGCCACCTGCCCATCGGCAGGGACCACTGCTGATCTTTAAACATAGCTGCCACCTGCCCATCGGCAGGGACCACCATGTTCAAAATGTGCCACAACGGGGATTAAAAAAATGCATCTTCAATGTTGCAAATCAACACAAGCTAAACTGTGTATGTGACTCTCCCTTTCTAATAATAATAATAATTCCTCCTAATAAACACTCCTATGCAACCCACTAGCTCTACATCAATTTTCAATAAATCCTGTCTGGAAAAAAACAGCAAGGTGGATGCAAACTTAAACGATGAATTGATTATCAAAACCAACGCATTTGGAGACCGATTGTTTAGATCTGTGGTTGCCAAACTTTTTTTTGTCAGCATTACATCATTTTTGGTGGAGGTCGGCTCGTGCAGTTCACGCACAAAAGCTAGCTATGTTTGAATGACACTTTGGTGCACACTGCAAGCCTTTCACCCTCAATACAATACATTAAATTCTCCCTTCCAT